GATTTCTTGAATTTACGAATTGAACGATGTGAACATTTGATTTTCTTTTTATTGACAACTTTCTATTCTGATTTAGATATACGCAGAAAAATTGGCTGAACACGTTCAGAAAATGGAAGATTTCAATGTGACACAAACATTTGAAAATGTGGTATGTTTTATTGTGCATAGATAATCGATAAAATTTCATTTTAGAAAAACTATTTAAACATACCGTAAGTGGTTGTATGAAATTCAGTTTTTACAATCTAAATAAATCCTGTAATAATAATAATAATAATAATCTTTCATATTGATACAATTTATGATGCAGTTAGAGTGAGTTAGTTGTGTTTCGAATGACACAAACATGATCATTTGCTTGTATATTTCTTTCCCAACATTATTACTCATTTATATATGCTTAAAACAACCAACACAGGTTTTTAATTACGATTTGTTATTATTTCAACTAACTGGTGTGTTTATTGTTATTTATACTAATGTCAATGGTTTTACATTTTGTGTATATCAAACTACAATCAACGAACTAATAGGTCGAATATTTTAAATACTTAGGTCAAGACAATACAATACACTACAGTAAAATTCCAAAGTAAGTTAAAAATTTGTTCGGTTTCATTTCTTCCTATACTGATTGAAATTAGTATTAGATCACTGTTAGAAACGTGGTAGCATTGGATGGTCATTTTATCCTAGTACAGCAGAATCCTGCTACTCGCAGTATTCGAACCCAAGACCTTCAGTCTTACGCATGAACTCCGAACCTCTAGATCACTGAGCTGGTCGGCATCCAATGGTGTTAATATTTAATTTCGATCAATCCTCTGCCTTGTGCAGTCCCATTCACTGTCTTCGGTGAGCACCGCTTCACCCCCCCCCCGGAACAGGCTTGAACTCCGTTGGTCACGAATTCTCACTAGAATTCGGAAAAACTTCCTCATGGAGCTAATTTCTAAAGAGAGAACATGACCATTCGCATTGATCGGGTTGTGGGGGGTTGTTGAGTTACTTTATTGAAATCGTAAATCGATCTAACATTGGTTGAACATTGATTGATTCATGATTTTAAATAGTAATTCAACAATCTACACAACCCTATCAAGTAAATTTCTTTTTCAAATCAATTATTTGAAGGGAATAGCCCTTTAAAAGGAAATATATCAAATGTTGGATAAGCGAAAAATACCATTTTAAACAAAATTAAATGATCTAGGCAGTAACCATCGAATACAAATAGGTAAGATCAGAGTTAAACACTGGCACCGTTGGATGCCGGCCAGCCCAGTAGTCCGGAGTCTAGGTGTTCGCTCTCAAGACTCTTAAGGTGCTGTGTTCGAATCCTGCGAGTAGTAGGAATTGTGGAAGCGCACTGCTGTTGAGTTCTATACCAGTACAAAACAGCTGTTCAGTGCTTTCAGGTTTCTAATGGTGGTCTAACAATGATTGTTTGATTATTTTAACGTATAAATTATAATCATATTATTTCACGGTGAGTGACTGATTCTCTCATTTATTTCCCTCGATTTATATTATGAACGTTTGTTTTATTTATTTGTAGTTTAGCATCGGAAAAATTTTCTAATATCTCAAATCACAGTATTGTGCGGTATTTACAAACAACAGATTGGACTATACGGAGAAATTTATTAGCTGACACTGTTGACGGTCAACCAGTTCAAAAGAATACCGATACAGGATTCAATGTTCAATTACCAAAGCATTTAAAAGACACAAATTTAGCTCATTTAGCCTTATTAAAACAAAATGAATACTCTCAGATTATTCCTAAAATCGAAAATGAAGCAATGGAATTCGACAAGCAAACTGTATTAATAGAACAACAATGGACAAATTTGTGTCATGTTACCGAGTGTTTACAACAACAACTTAACATAAAACAAAATGAATTAAAAAGACTCGAAGATATATTACAGATAAAAGAGGAAATTTTTTGAATCAAAAACCGCCAAGAATTATTTTTTTACATAAATAAACAACTGATAAAATTTATAGTGAACAATGAATGTACTTGATAAAATTTATTTATACTATCTATTAGTTTACAAAAATGTTTTTCTTTTTCGATTGAACTACTTAACTGACGCGTTAAAATCATGAATGAATCATTGACAGATTACCATTGAAAACCTCGAAGCACTGGGTGGCCGTATGGAACTTATCAGCAGTGCGCATCCACGACTCAAGCAAGTTGCACAATTCGAACCCAGGATCCTTCGATCTTGTTCATGAACTGTGCCGTCAACCAATGGTGTGAATGCAAAACTCTGATCAATCTAAGGGTTTTTGGACAGAAAATGTGCTCGTTAGTGACCAGCTTCGTGAGGAAATTCTCGGAGTTCTTCAGGTGAGAAGACATGATCAGTGAAGTTCAACACTGTCACCCATGAGCAGTAACTACCGAAGACAATAGATGGAGAGTTGCACTAAATCCTTGGATTGATCAGAGTTAGACATTAACACTGTCGTTTGTCTTTCTATATGACTATGCTGTGCTCTCAATGCCGTCAGATTTTAATGATGCAATAGTTTGATTCTCATTTATATCATTCATCAGAAAATTAGAATTCAGTCAGTCAGTCAGTCACTTACAACATAGAACTTTATACGTACCTGCGTACACAGTTCAAGTTGCCATACCACACTAGCACAGAATCAGAAAAAAGCGATCTGATCTCACATTTCATCAATTTCTACCTGATTCATATGTTTATCATCCTATTAATTTTATCATTTAACATAATAATTTTCACAAATCAAATTCTTGTTTGCGAAATGTTATTGCTGTGAACATAATCAGTAATCATTTTCTTCATAATACTGTACTTCTGATGTTCTATTCACCCGATGAATTTAGGTTATATGGGATTTAAGCAGTCTAGATGCACAAATTTTGTGCTCATGAATGTTCTCCACTACAATAGTGAAGTGGGAAATTCTCAATGAATATCTTGGTTTTTTCAAACCATGTAGATTTACTGATGAGAGATGGCACTCGTCAATATTTCAACAAAATTTTCCATTGAAGTACTTGACTACTTATCATGAGGAGTAGTATATAGGTGGGTGGCTTTATATCTGATGCTGTCAAGCCAAATGTAAAACTTTTTTCTGTGATATTGCCCACGTGTTCAGTTGCTAGTATATATTAAGGATTCTTTCAATTTCTGATTACTCTTCGAATAAATCTTCTAAAAGTTATGGTGACTAGTACTACTTCTGACACTTTGATGTATGGGTCAGTGATAAAAACAAAGCTTAAATGAGAATTTATGTATAGTCCACAGCTGTTGATATTGCAACGAATTATTAGGAGTAAGTCAATGATTACAAGTTAGTGTTTATTCTGTGGTAGTTTTATGTAAATAAACATGACAGTATTTCGTTTTCGAGTCGTATCATTATCAATCACAGGCTAATAAAATATCTAGACTAGCGATCGGTTTCATTCTTTCTGTGTTTCCAACTGGGGAGAATGAAAACCACTCAGCATTTCAGATACAAATGTAAAAGCAGTTATGCTTTGATTTTTTGAGGACAGGAATTTTATGGTAGAATATCTGCATGTGGTAGAATTTGAGATACCGTGTGAGCTCAGTCTTAAAATTATAACTATTCAGCCTTGTATTTTATCATCAGGCCAGCATAGCAAACGACTGATAAAGTGTTCAAGTCAAGTAATAAATAAAAACCTCAGTTGTTATGAAGTTAAATATCAAACAAGCGCTCCTTCAGTCACTTCACTAACCGAGCAACAGTCAAAAACTCCTTTTGATTCGGCAAATACGTGTGCTCTTAAGGGTTTGAGGGTGGATGTTAATTCCAGCCTGCCCACACCGTGGAAGGGCTTTGGTTATGGTTGTCAGAAGCGGTATCGGCCTCGTGACTTCCAAAGCAACTCGGCTTTCATCATGAGACGTTATAACTCTTCTGAATGAAGACCTAACTCCCCAGGGCAGAGTGTGAATGGTTTGAATTACTTTTTATTGCTAGCATTTTTTTAACGAATGACTTTTGCACGGGATCGGGCTGCCAACCCTTCTCCTTTATCTGGTCTTGGGACCGGAATTAGCCTCGTAGGGCTCCAGGCGGAGTTGCTGCAAATACTCTATCTCTATTTTACTTAGTCGTCTCGAAACAAGCAAACGGTACAGGCTCGTCTTACTGTTCTAGATCAAGACGTACCCTCGATGCAGGTGAATTCGTTGTTAAGACAGACATTGTAATTGATTAAAACAGTCTGAGAAAAGCCTTAGTGTCTAGGAGTTGTAAAATGTTTAATAATATATATTCTCACATAGTTAATAGAACACGAAAGCACCAACACCTGATTTGACTGTTTGAATTTTCGTAGTTGAGAATTCTTAATTTGATGTGACTAGGTTATTCATATTAGGTTTAAGATCCTTAGCATCAACAGTGTAATTGAAGCAATTGATAGAATTAAATCGAAATTGACAATCGGATTTATGACAACATTTGTAACACTAAAAACTGAATGAATTCGGAATACGTTCATCATACAGTTCAATAAAAGACAAGCTCTCACTAAAAACCCTCAAGGTCAAAGGAAAAGTGGAAGGCCAAGGAACACATTAACCTGAGAAACGGAGACAGACATGCGAAGAATGAACAACATTTGGATGGAACTAGAAGGGTAGGCCAGGGAAAAACAAGTTTGAGAATGCTAGTCGGCTGTCTATGCTCAATTAGAGGTTACAGGCGTAAGCAGCAAAAGAGCCTCATTCGTCGATATGAAATTTCAAGTGAACCAATGGTCTGTTTCTCATAGACACGGATTAAACTGCCTGTAGGCTTTAAATTTGTTTCATTTCCAGGAAATAGTGAATAGCTCTTTGGAATAATGCACAATAATCTTTTAACGAAACCTGCCTACGTTCATATATATATATTAGCGTAGGCAGGTTTCGTTATAACGCAAGTTGGCAAAAAACTAGTCAAGCCTACAGTATTTGTGCTCAGAGTTAGTCATACACTAGACCATCAGCACTGATGAAACTCCCAAGGTAAGTGAAGCGGTCAAGACACTCAATTACTTCACTCCCTATCACTAGTTCAAGTGCCGATGCAGCCCAATCCTCAAGCAACATTTTGCATGCGTATATATATATATATATATATATATATATATATAACTCATTCGATTCAGGTCACTGTCAGATAGATGTTTGAAAAATTATATAACCGACAGAGCAATAGGTTCAATTCAATTAGGCTAGTTAGCTCTAATAGCTGATGACTGGTTGGATAAATCAACAAGTTATTAGTTACAGTCATATTTATTTATTCAAGACTTTTTTGATTTTCGATGATCAATTGATTAAAGAATAAATAAATTAGACTTATATTGAATTTAGAAAAAAAAAGAAAAAGAAACAAGCGATTTAACATGCACAAAGAAAGAGCTACAATTTTTGTTTTTAAATGGATAACTAAGATGTAGTTTGTTTGAGGTTTATTGAATATAAATATAAATTTGGAGTATATATTCTGATATAACTTTGATTTGTGTAAATAATATTTGGGCATTTTTTTTGTCGGCTTGTAAAAATATATTTCTACCAATTCTAATCATCATCCTATTAATGCCTGACTTCATAATCGCTTAGATTTGTGTCAGATGAGGAAAGTAAAGAGGATGAAGCTCCATTCCGAACCAGCGATGTACCTTGAGCTTTGATGCCGACAATATTATCAGCCATACACACATATTCACCTTCATATTCCAGGGTGAAACTTGTTATTTGCAAATAAGATATAGTGTGTGTTTCTTCAGTTCCTCCACGAACACTAACAGTTACATCTTTGTAATTACCTTTAAAACATTAAGAAAGAATAACAAAAAACAATCATAAGTCACAAAACTGCACACAGAGATATGAAACACCAACAGTTAGACTTATTATTGAAGATACTTAATAACATATGCATAAAAATGAAACTCCCTAAATTGGTTAGAATTGGGTGACAGCCGGCTCAGTGATCCAGAGGTTAAGCGTCCGCGCGCATGACCGATGGTCCTGGGTTCGAATCCTGCAAGTTGCAGAAGTCGTGGATGCGCACTGCTGGTGAGTCCCATACCATGATGAAAAGCCATCTTTCAGTGCTTCCAGGTTTTCGATGATAGTCTAACAATGACTGATTCAGGATTTTAGTGTATAAAAACAACGATCTCCATGACTCTAAAATTCTCGGAGTTCTACGGAGAAGACGAGACCAGTGGAATTCAACCCTGTCGGGTGTAGGTAGTAAATACCGAAGACAAATGTGTGAGGTTGTGTGAAATCTTTAGACTGACCACAGCTAGATATTAACACCTTTGGATGCCTTCCGAATCAGTTGTCCAGAGGTTAGGCGCCTGCATGCATGACCGGAGGTCCTGGATTCGAATCCTGTAAGTAGTAGGAGAAGTATTAGTCGTGGATGCGCAATGCTGACGAATCCCATGCCAGGACGAAATGGCCGTCTTATGATTTATTTATGATTTCAAGGTATTAACCATAAAACCTACTATCAATATATACATACATACCTGGCATTTGAGTTTTGTCTTGTTTTTGATTCGGTTTATTAAAATACCAAGTAATCGTTGGAATTGGATAACCACGTGCTTCACAAATCAACGTGACATTTGTACCTTCAATCACAGTTTGATTTAATGCAGTTAATTTAACCGAAGGCACTAGAAGGTAGGAAAAGAAATAAGAAATTGATTACCTGGTAAATAAATGAGAAAATGGCACACATTTAAAGTGAATTTTTCTTCTCAGTGTTTATCAATTTTCTACGATATAATAAGCAAGAAAAAATTTCAGCAAATGGTTTAAAATTAAGATGGAGTTTCGTTTTCTGAGCTGGATGGTTTGGTTGTGGTGCTTCCATTGTTCTCCTGAACAACATCATCAGCGCACTCTTCAGAGAGAAGTGAAACCGAAGTGGAAGCCTGTCTTTTGGCGGAATTCTCCCATTTTCGAAAAACGAAAAGCGTGTTTGTGCTGATAATATTGTTTAAAAAGACTATGAAAACGCCACAATCAAACCTTCCGGCTCAGAGAACGAAATTCCGTCACAATCATCCACCCGAGCTACAAATTTTCTCCAGCATGTCTAGAATTGCCTGTTTATCGTACATAAAATGTCTGAATTCAAAATCTTATATTTTGCAACGAAAACCCTATCGAACAAAAATCCTGACCATCAGAAACGCTGTAGTGGATGAGTGAATATCATTAATTAATAAATGGCTTTCTTTTCTAATGTTGGTTGGAGAAAACTGGTCAGCGGTCTATGCTGCATTGGGCGTAACAAGCGTAAATAAGTAAGTTTCTTTTCTAATGGACTGAATACATCTGTAGACGAGTGTTTGTTTTCTCGGCCAAGCAGTCGGTTTTAAAGAGACATCAGCCATTGCAATTACCTCATTGGTATTTGGTTGATATGTGTTTTGTCAATAAGTAGTCAGCGTTTTCTGCTTGACTAATAAATTGCTCAAGGTTCTTATTATGTCATACTTTTACTTTTAAAAGCAATAAAAACGGTAATCACAGCATTCATTATTCATGCATCCATCTTAAGTAGTGAAGTTATATTCATACAATTACAATAAAACTTATTCATTCTTCTTTACACATTGCTGAAGTTCTAAAGCCTAGTGATATTTTCTCTGTAATAAATGATCAGTCAGCTTTTACAATTTAACAAAAAGTACGCCGTCTACTTAACATTTCAACTATGCGGTTCAACAATGAATTCATAGTTATTGTCACTGTTCACTTACGTCTACAAGTAAGCAAGATCAAATTGCTTTCAGAAGTGAATATATATATGGATTATTGATGACTTGGCACACACTGACTGTCATTGTAAACAACGTCCTTTTTTGAATCAAACTGTTAGTTGATTGATTCGTAACTTTCACTACATCAGCCATCACTTAGACTCAGCGTTAAAATGCAAATTTAGTGCTATTGTGAACTTTTTTTAACTAACACTACTAATCTACCATGCACAGGCTAACTGTACTCGGCTTTGAAACACAGTTACTGTCCTTAATATTAGATCTCGCCTGTTCATGATGGGGAATCTATATCTAAACTTGAAAAGAAAGTCCAAGTATAATGACACAGACAAAATGTAAGGATATACTTTCTAAACAGTCTCTAGTTAATAAAATATCGATCACTCAGTGTGTAAATATTTAAGATTCTCGTTCAAGTTGACCAATAAATCTAAATGCAAGCTTTAACTTAAAAGTTATATTTATTGCTTTGAAATTTCAGTCAGTCTGTTGAAATATCTATGATTCATTTAAAAACAAAGATAGAGGATTGACAGAAACATTAACTAGCATCTGAATATTAAACCTAATCTCATTTTACTGATATTGATTATCAACTTCTCCGGTTTGTCAAACCACCTGTACATGAATACAATAGTCAAATATTCACGATTAATAAGGTTTCAGAAAATAGGCATACTCATGTTCTGTTAGGTGATATTGACAAAGTACAGTGTTTTGATCAACATGAGTAACAATATAATCATGTTCGGATTATGTCTCCCTCCCTCTAAAGGTAAAATGATACGTCAGAATTGGTCTGATTCAACACCCGAATCAACGACAGGAAATGAAGTACATAGTTTGACTTTTCACTTCACTCACTTAACTTGGAGGTTTCATCAGTCTTCAACAGTTTAGGTGTGACAAAATCTGTCGCGGACGTTAGATCCCTAGAACTTACTTAAAAAAAGGTCCTAACTTTGAATTATGTGTTTTCGCGCATGGGCTGATCAGTCGACCTTGAGAATACGTTTCCTACTCGAAAAATCCTTAACTGTTATTGGTTGATGTATTATTTTAGTACGCTATTTTTGTGGCTCTCCTAAAGACGTTTATATCATGTATGAATAAACTCGATTTGTGTGCTTTTCAACCTCATATCTTCTGGGTGCTTCTAGAATACACTTTCCACAACTTATCAAGAATTCTTGATATACTTAGCAAGGCCTGGGACAACGGATTTGGACAGCCTATCGTGTCACTGCAACATTTGTTTTCGCTGCCGTTAACCGAGTAATAGTTTCAAACATATCAGTTGACAAGCATATCAAATTCACTGATCGCGGCTGGTATTCTCTAAATTGTATCCTTTAAGGAGCCGAAGAGATTTCCATCTGATAAACAAAGACTTTATATACATTGTGTGAAAGACCACTCTGTATAATGTCACGGCTGTGCAGCATGGTCGTCGAAAGTAGAAAACCTGCATAAACTACCAATGTTTTATCAGAGGTATCTCCAGTGGATGAAACGACAAAGTGCCGAATGTTGAGTTCAGTCATAGGATACTGGTCAAGGATGTCGAATCGGTTGGTAAGGCAATGGATATTGATCGATCGAGTGAGTTGGTATACCTAACTACCATCCACTTCTACGGGCGATATTTGCTGGTGAACGAGTAAGTTAAAAGGGTGTTAGCGTCAACTAAACCAAGACATGGCATCAGTCCACTGACTGTTGAAGACTGTCTGGTTGGGGTCCGAGCGATAACCTCAATCAATGGCTGAAGACATTCAGTAGCTCGGTTCACAATCATTCACAACAACTCAGATACATTCACTTTCTTACTATATTTATATTATGAATTTAAAGTTTTCATACACATTTTTTCCTTGAAATTTAATTGTTTCGACTGTTACTGGTACGGTTGGAACTTCAACTACTTTGTGAAACAATCTTAATAGTTTCATTTTGCTGTGTTAACCAGAGGGTTTGTCAACTTGAAACGATGAAAAAAAATGTAAATGTAAGAATTTTCTACACAGATTTTAAGTAGTGGACAAACTCTGACCAATTCATAGTTGTAATGAAATAATTTTAAAGTAATCTATGTATTTTGTTTTGAAGCAATTAGTTTTACTTGTTTGCATAGGGCTTTTTCTGTATTTCTAGATGCATCGTACTTGATTAAATGGATAATTTAACTTGCAGTGAATAGTTGTGTAATTCATAGAGATACTTTTATTTTATATTAGGTTTGTTAACTGTATAAAGCAACACTGTAGTCAGACTATTATTTTTTCAAGGGCATTAGAAATTTTAATGTCAACTATTTGAAAAATTATCTAATTTATTCAATGAATTTTATTTGTGACTGGTACAGATATGCTCTTCGTTTAAATTTAGTCTTTAGAATGATCAGAGTTCGACGTCAACACAGTTGGATTCCAGCCGGTTCAATGGTCCAGAGGTTAGGTCTTAGGTTCTGATGCTGTGGGTATCAGGAATCATGAACGCGCACTGTCGAAGAGTTCCATACCTGGACGAGATGACCGTGTTTCAGTGCTTCCAGCTTTCTAATCGTGCTCTAACAATGATTCATTCATGATTTCAAAGTGTTGTCATACAGAATTAAAATTGTCTGATAAGAAGGGTGAACTAATATGATGTCCAGTAGAACTAAAAGGTTATTTCATAAAGACATTAAATGTACTGAATAATGATTTTTGTTTAAGATTACTCGTATTAATGTAAATTACTATAACTTGATGCATAAGATTAGCCATTTTGTGTAGACTATTCAAAAAGATTAACTTCAATACGAAAACAACAATGCAATAGACATTATTGAAGACATAGTTGTTTTACATTGAAATCATGAATGAATCATTGTCAGACCACGATTAGAAACCTAAAAAGCATTATGCGCTGGATTAGTGATCACATCTTGTAGAAATTCAACGTGCCAACAACAAAACGCTAACCAGAAAAATAATTCACTGATCGGTGGCTTCTATTCCATTAGAGGTAGCAGGCTTAATTGACTAAAGTAAGAGGAAGCGTCTGTTCGCTCCCCTATCAAACCGTAGTAGAGTTTTTTAATGAATTATATTTCGAAATAAACAAATTGATTTTTTGCAAGAGTTTTTCACTTATTTTAAAAATTAATTTCAATAATCCCTTGAAAAACTCACCAGTATGACAAGGTCCTTCATTCAATGCAGTAATTCGACCATTCGATGCAATGATAGTTGCATTCATGGTACACTTTGAATAAGTCACACCATCGGAACCGCATACTTTGCCTTGTTTAACACAATAACATATACTTTGTGATCCAATTATCTTTGAGTCAATATCTGTACGTGGACGACATTCTAAATCGGTGCCACATATTCCATGCCATGGAATTTTTGGTTTCAAAATGCCATTTTTAAAATCTTCCGGTATATTGCATAATTGAGCTTCTTCTAATGCACAAATATCACAACAACCACATTTATCACGTACTGTGCCAACATTACATTGTATTATAGGTGGACATTTTTTACGATCACATTTTTCACATTCATTTTCAATATCTTTCATTATAGTTGGATATTTTGCTTTTATGGAGAATTCATCATGATTGTTATCATAATTTTCACTAGTTTGCCAACTATGAATTAAGATTATATTAGCAAACAATAAGAATAATTGAATTGACATGTTATCTTATTTTGAGAACAATGATAATAGTGAAATAAATATATATATGTATATATGGTAAATTGTATTCAAAGTATTCTTAACACAATGTTTTATGCTTGTAATCTTAACACACACAAAATAAAATAGATTTACATCAGTGCAGAAATCGATTTTATTTCCCAGAAAAAAAAAATCAAGTAAATAAGGATAATCATATTCAACCAATGATAAGTAAGTGTCAGGGGAAAATCTAGTTCAACAAATCAAAATCCTTGTTACACTGCCATACAACTAGTTCAATGTTGCACACTAAGTAAGCAATATTCGTGAAAACAAAGACATATCTTAATAAATTATTAACCAATCATAAATTAGTGTTGTATTACCTAAGGCAATGATGATTCTATACGTGAACTTTTAGATTTAGTCAATACAATTAATCATTTTATCCAACATCAATAAAACAAGAACTAGCTTAAATAAATATCGTTATATGTTATAGTTTACAAAAAAAAAGTAATTTGATTTAGTACGGAAAAAGCAAAAAAAAATTACACATTAGTAATCTATTATTATTTATAAGAAATAAGATTGTATTAAATGATTCCATACAATTACTACTTACTAGTCGTTGGATAATATTCACTCTTGGAGAGTTCATATAAACATTCATTTGGAAGTCTTCAACATTTGTACAAACATCTTCATGTTAAGTTAAATAATTTAGTAAGCTTACTGAAATGCTGTAAAGTGATTTTTTTCAACTGAGGTTATCATTTATTCTCCCATTTAGTTACTCAGTTACATTAACTTACTTACGCCTTTAACCTCCCACGGGACAAAAGCCGCCGACCAGCGTTCTCAAACCTACTTTACCTGGAATCGTCCTTTACGGTTCTACCCAAATGTTGTTCATTCCTTTCATGTTTGTCTCCCTTTCTCGGTATAATGTGTTCCTTGGCCTTCCACTTTTCGTTTGACCTTGAGGGTTCCAAGTGAGGTCTTGTCTTGTAACATTAAGTGCTTTATTCAATATGTGTATCCTATCCACTTCCAATGCTTATTCCTCCGCTGGAATCTAGTTTGTTCTTTATTTCTGATAGTGTTTTGATAACAGAACCTCGGTATTTTGCGTAAAATTGAACACTTATATCGTGTGGATGATGGCTGTCGTAGTCCTGCTAGTTCCCCCACCCCCCTCTCATAGAGTAGAACTGTGTTGACATTTATATTGAAAATTGTGACTATGGTGTTTATTGAAGGTTGTTTTGAGTTTCACATGTTCTTCCATTATAGAAATTCATTCCTTACTTTGCCGATTCGCGCCTTCACATCTGCATCAGATTCATCTTGCTTGTCAAGGTGAAAATTTGCATGCACAAAGTTTGTCACATAGTTTTTAACTATAATCACTGAACTGAAAATAAAATTAAACAATCGACATATTTTTTTTTGGAAAAATAATCAATCTACTTATAGTGTACTTTATTGATAAGATAGAGGTTATTCTTCTTTTTGTTTTCTTCAAAAACATATCAACAATCCTGTCAGTGATTTTTCTTCTACTCTTGAATTGTAAATCGTTAATTATCTTCGGATTTTTTGTGTCATCAATATAATCGGCTAGACAATTAGTTTCGATAACATATGTGTGTAACATTTACAAACAACATATATATATATATATATATATATATTAATTGCATCAATGTATATGCATGAATTCAATGATTATTTTTCTTGAGGTAATTATCCACATTACCTTATCTCACTTTGTTAACTTGTGGTGTGTCGATTTACTACGTGTTCTTAAGCTCGGTAATTAGCTCGTCCAGACAATGGTTATTAAATAGCGTCTGACGGTTTATAAATCAGAAGGTGAACTCGTAGTGTTGAATACGTTTATCTGCGACACACCACAAAGCGAAGAGAAGCAATGAATAAAACGAATGAAGCGACGCGAATTGGAGAAGGCTGTTAAGCAAACTCCTAGGATTACAATGTGAACGAATGGGCGAAGGGAGCGAATGAATAGGCGAAGCGCATTGGAGAAGGCTAATGAGCCAACTCCAAGAGACAGCGTGACCAAGAATATATGGTCAGACAAATATAAGACAGACATGTGACAAGCGAAATAGTCATGAACACACATGAATAAAAGCTACGAATGATTGACAAGGTCAAATGACAAGTGAGACACGTCATGTGAGCTCATACAAACCGGACAAAAATAAGAACGAATGGTACATATAAATTGTTGCAATACAAATGGCTTGGCTAAATAAATTAATCAAAAGCGCTTAACCAAGTTAGATGTAAGCGAACTCGAATATATGTGGAAGCAGTACAAACTATTTCCTCATTGTAAGCCCCTTCAGATTGATTGAGCGTGTAAGCGAATTTGTTGAACTCAATTACTCTCTCTCTCTGTTACATTTTCCATTTGACTATCAATATTAAATCATATTTTATTACATGGATTTGGCATATCTACCATCTCTACTATAGCAGCCACTTTTATTGTCTATTTGGAATTAACACATCACATGATGAATATTTGATTCGATATCTATCTAAGCATTTGACTTGTTTCATTCTTTTTATTAACTAACGTCCTTCCAATTGAATCTTACTATTTTAACTTTTATCAATGAACTATGAACACTTCCCGAGCAATGAACTTGAAATTTACTCAGAAAATAGATTGCTACATTCATAATACACACGAAGAACCAGTGAAAAAATATTGTATCAACATAACTGTTTCTTGAAATAAAGTAAAAACAAAGAATTGAGTAGAATAACATGAATTCATTCTATTACGTAGAGTTCTTATCAGCTACTTACAACCTATAAGACTGTAAGAAATCAGTTCACATACTTATAATAGTAGAAAATGGGTTATATGCATCATCATGGCATGTAAAGAGTACTGTAAAATAAATATCGTTTACGAGAGAATATTCTGAATCATCAGACATGGAGTAACGAAAGATCAAAGAGCAATCATAATTCATTGATTGATTATTGAATGTAGTAGTTGAATCATAAATTAATAGCAATTAAAAATACTCTGAATATTAGAACAGTCAATAAAGCTTATGAATTTGAAGAGAAAGAGAAAACTTTGAGAAAATGACGCAATAAACTGACAATAAAGACATTATGGTACATAGGTTCGCGTTAAGTTGTTTGACGTCTAGATCTTCAACAAACTTAAGAAGAATGGAACCTGATTGTCGGTTGACAATGCTGAAGGATTTAAGTCTATTAACTTTGTGATTCATGTCAAAAAGATGTTTTACAGTTGCAATGCTTAAAGCATTTAATCTCATTAACTTGTGACTTTTAGGGATATGTTCATGTAATAAAACTCAAGCTTTTTTTTCTGTTCTGCCAATGTAACTGCTTTAGCAGGTACATGCAAGTTCTGTATACGCAGTTGGCCATAACATGAAAGCGGGACCAATCGATCTTGGATTGGAGTTAACAACATGTAGTGAGTGTTGCTGCAGGACAAATTCTAGTTAGTATGGCTTGTAATCTTCCGTTTATCATCACTGTGACATTTTCACCTTTTGACATCAAATTGAATGCTGAATTGAATACTGTTAATCGCTGTGTAAAATGACCTAAAGATAGTTTTCATTATTTCTAGCCTCTAGTAGTAATAGTGAATGAATAATTTTGATGAGTAACAGGAATGAAATTGCAATGTGTTGCATACTGACTAGAGCATTTTTGTTCTACATTACTGAAACTGTTATAGTCCAGGTGTATACAACACATTTGTCACAGAAGTTGCTGTGTTTACTTTCTAGCCTTTTGTTCAGTCTATTACAAATAATATGATTTGCTTAACTTTTAGCTTTTATAAACAAGCCTCAATCTTAAGTCAGCGACGTTACAGATTGATATTAAATCTGGTGTGGTCAATTGTATCATTTATACAAATTGATCCTTCACAAGTCAATAGTATCAAACTTATGTTGATTAGCATTTGTGCATGCATAATGCACGTTTAAATTAACTCATTTGTTGAAGAGATACTTAGGCTTTCAGTATTCGATTACAGTTGTCTTCGAAGCTTTGCTCGTGTATCCTGGGGCAACTGAGTAATCAGTGCTGTCGTGAGAAAATGTGTATTAGGTAGAGATAGCAAATCGGGTGATGAAGTAATATATCCCAACCACTTCAACTGATCAAGATTTGTGTTACGAATGCCTAACTACTGACTGCCTCAGTGAGATATGGTTTATGGGCATAAATCCATGACAGCTGGGCTGAGCCACTTGGTTTGGGTCCGCAAGATGATATTAGCAGATGGTTAGATACCTTGTATGATATGGCTTAAAACAGTAACGGTGCAGGTGCATCCACTCTTTATCTTCTCTCATATTCTAGTTTTCTGAATTTGTCATCACCTCTACCGTTCACTTTTTAATTTTATTTCACCCAATTATATATCTTTAATAGTATCTTCAAATCATAATCTTTCCGATTACCACCCATACTTTTACTACCTCTACTACCATGGGATTTCAATTGACAATTCGATCTCTTTGTGTTATAGCAACTTGAACCGATATCTACGTACTTCCGTACGTACGTACGAAGTTCTATGTTGTCGTTGACTGACTGACGGACTGACTACTATATCTGTGATTCAATAAGCTAATCCTAGTAAATAAGTCAATTGATTGATTCAATGTAAGCAATAAATTATGTTATTGATTAGTTCGATTATGTGCATGTTAGTTTAATAAATCATTCTATGCATTAGTTTTCAAATTCACTTTTGCAGAAATATTACAGGTTTGTGTTTTCACATATATAAAATGACTTTTACAAAACTATTTTATTTTTCACTGTCTGTTTACCTTGATCAATATCCAACAAAGTGTAAACTATATTGAACTTATTGAACAACTAACGATTAGCCACTTGAATCATTCAACAGTAAGTGTGTATGTGTTTTTTCCTAACTAATGGGGATATATGATTTACCGACTGTGTTT